GGCCCGGCCCCGTCGCACCCGCCCGGCCCCGTTGCGCCCTGCCCGGCCCCGCCGCGTCTGCCGAGCCCCACTGCACCGGCCCGGCCCCTGCGCTCATCCCTGCCCCGGCCCCTTCCTCCTCACTGGTACGGTCCCCCCCCCCCCCCCCCCCCCCTTCCCTGCACCGTACTGCACCGCCCTGCACCGCCCCGCACCGCACTGCACTGCCCTGCCCCGCACTGCACCGCCTTGCACTGCTCTGCTTTGCACTGCACTTCACTGCACCGTACTGTCCCGTCCTGCACTGCCCCTGATGGCGGCGGAGCTTCGCTTCGACGCTGAAGGCCAGCCTCTGGAGTTCGAGGCGTGGCTTGCCGACCTCCGCCGCCAACTCACTGGCCAGCGGCAGGATGGTGAACCGCGTTCCGCACACCTTGACGGTACGCTCCCCTGCCCAGACCCCCCTGCTATTTTGCCCGCTGACTCCACACCGCGACCGCTTGACGGTACGCTGTCGCCCGCGACCGCTTCCTTAGCCTTCACCCCGCCGACCTCACCCTCACTGACTTTGTAGACACCCTGACTGTGATTGAGACCCGTCACCGCTCCATCGCCCAGGCGAGCGGTGTCGTGCCGGTCCCTATCTTTCAGGGTTGTGCCCCCGCTCAGTGTACCTTCTCCGACGGCTCTGCCGCAGTGGCTAAGACTGCTGCTGCAGCGCAGTTTCGGGGAAGGGCCGCCGCCCCAAGGTTGGGCGCGGCGGAGGAGGCGGGGGTGCGGGAGGGGGTGGTGGTGGGGTCGGGTCGTCTGGTGCTGGAGCGGACGAGGGGACCCTGCCCAGTCCAGCTGAGCCGCCGCCCCTGCAGTTGCAGCAGCTGCAGCAGCCGCCGCAGTTACAGCCTTCGCAGCAGCCGCAGCAGCCGTCGCAGACGCGGCAGACGAGTGTCCTCCCGCCCGGGTGGCCCGGCGCTGGCGGTTGCCGGGCGCGTGGTGGTGTGCCGAGTGGTGGCTCTGGAGGCGGGCGTTGTCAGTACCAGATCCAGACTGGTCCTCGCCGTGGCTTCGTTTGCGATAAGATCAGTCACTCCACTCCCCGCTGTTTTCGCCGCCTGGACGACCTCTTTCGTCAGCGCTTCGGCCCGTCGCCAGACCTCCCGGACTGGCACCGTTTGCTTAATCGTAAGATTCAGATTTCTGATATGGACATGGATGCCATTGTTTCTGCTCTGCATGTGATGTATGCTGATGACTCTAGTGTGCTTCCAGCTTATTATTCACTGTCGGCTAGTGTAGGTGTGCCTAGCTTAGCCTCCCCTGCTGCGTCAGGCGTAGGATCCCCTGCTTTGTATAGTCTTGGTGCTTCCGCCGTCATTCCGTTGCCAGACGCCTCTGCTTCGCTTTCCTTCACCTTGGACTCCGGTGCTTCCCAGTGTTTCTTCCGCGACGTCACCACCCTGACGCCGCTTCCTGTTCCTGCTGCCGTTTCTCTTGCTGACCCCTCCGGCGGTCCGGTCGTCGCCCGCAGTTCCACCACCCTTCCCTGTCCGGCGGTTCCTTTGGGCACTCTCACAGGTCTGCATATCCCCTCGTTCTCCAGGAACCTAGTTGGTGTCGGCTGCCTCCAGGACCTTGGCGTCACCACTACGTTCCCTGGTCACGAGCGGTATGCTGTCTGTACCGAGGCCGCCACTGGTGCCCCCCTGTCCACGTTCCCCCGGGACCCGGTGTCCGGCCTGTTCACTCTGGACACCGTGACCCCCCCGGCTGGAGCGCTCACCCAGGTTGCTGCTGCCTGCTCCTGTCGGTCCCTCACTCACCCGACCCTCCTTTGGCACCACCGCCTAGGTCACCCTACGCTCCCGCGTCTGCATCACATGTCCCAGCACGGTCTTGTCCTTGGTCTCCCAGGTTCTCTCCCCGCGTTTCCCTCCTCCCCAGCCCCACCTTGCACGCCTTGTGTCGAGGGTCGGCTTCGCCGTGCCCCTCACTCCTCCTCGTTTCCCCCTACCGCCGCGCCGCTGCAGACCCTGCACCTACCGCCGCGTCTGGGGCCCCGCCCCCGTCCCTAGGCCGCGTCGAGAGCGCTACTTCCTTGTGCTTGTCGACGACTTCACTCGTTACACCACAGTCTTTCCCCTGGAGCGCAAGGCTGACGTGCCTGGCGCTCTCATCCCCTGGCTTGTTTCTGCGCGTGTCCACCGCGGTCTCCCTGTCTTGCGTCTTCACTCAGACCGTGGTGGCGAGTTTGCCTCAGGTGTCCTTGGTCGCTTTTGTCGTGCGGAGGGCATCACCCAGACGTTCACCCTACCGGACTCCCCACAGCAGAATGGGGTCGCTGAGCGACGCATCGGTTTGGTCATGGAGGTGGCTCGCACCTCCATGATCCATGCCGGTGCACCCCATTTTCTGTGGCCGTTCGCTGTGCGCTACGTTTCTCACCAGCTTAACTTGTGGCCGCACCCTCAGCAGCCGCAGGTTTCGCCGACCCGTCTTTGGACTGGGTCTCCTGGTGACGCGTCTGCGTTCCACGTCTGGGGCTGCCTTGCTCACGTTCGTGCCTCCGGCACGGACAAGCTTGCTTTCCTCTCCGAGGCTGCTCCCCATCTCTGTTCCATGCTGCTAGTCCCTGAGGGTGACCCTGACGCTTTTGACATTCCGACCCCTCGCACTTACGCTGAGGCGACTTCGGGACCCTGGGCCTCGCAGTGGATAGCTGCCATGGAGCAGGAGATGGCATCTTGGAGATCCACCGGCACCTTCGTCGACGCAGTTCCCCCACCTGGGGTGAACGTAGTCGATGGCCGCTGGCTCTTCAAGGTGAAGCGCCCTCCTGGAGAGCCGCCTGTCTTCAAGGCGCGCTATGTGGCTAGAGGCTTCAGTCAGCGCGAGGGGGTGGACTTCTTCCAGACTTTCGCTCCGACCCCGAAGATGACTACTCTTCGGGTTCTGTTACACCTAGCTGCTCAGCGTGACTACGAGCTTCACTCTCTCGACTTCTCCACTGCCTTCCTTCAGGGCAGCCTACACGAGCAGGTCTACCTGCGGCGCCCTCCGGGCTTTACTGGCACCTTCCCTCCTGGGACCCAGTGGCTCCTGCGGCGCCCCGTCTACGGCCTGCGCCAGGCTCCCCGTGAGTGGCACGACACTCTCCGTGCTACGCTTGCTGACCTGCAGTTCTTTCCGTCTTCCGCAGACCCTTCACTCTTCGTTCGTGCTGGCCAGACTCCGTTCTACATCCTTGTTTACGTCGACGACCTGGTCTTTGCCACAGCAGACAGGGACGCACTGGCCTCCGTGAAGGCAGAGCTGCTGAAGAGACACACGTGCACTGACCTTGAAGAACTGCGCCGCTACCTTGGCTTGCAGATCTCCAGGGACAGAGCATCGCGCACCATCACCCTGACTCAGTCACACTTGGTGCGCCAGGTCCTTCAGAGGTTCAGTCTTCAGTTCTCCTGTGCACAGCCCACCCCTCTGCCTGTAGACCACAGACTCTCCGCTCCAGTGTCTGAGGAGCTGGTAGAGCCCAGCGGCCCCTACGCAGAGCTGGTGGGTTGCCTCATGTACCTGATGACTTGCACTCGTCCAGATCTCGCATACCCTCTCAGCATCCTGGCTCGCTTTGTGGCCACAGGCAGACACCGACCGCAGCACTCTGCCGCTAACAGGGTTCTGCGTTATCTTGCTAGTACATCGGGCATGGGGTTAGTGCTAGGAGGACGCAGGCCAGTGGTCCTTACTGGACACACAGACGCTTCGTGGGCAAACGACGCCAAGACACTCAGGTCTACCCAGGGCTACTGCTTCAGCCTTGGCTCAGGTGCCGTCTCGTGGAGAGCTACCCGCTCCTCGTGTGTTGCCCAGTCCAGCTGTGAGGCTGAGATCTACGCTGGTGCCATGGCGGCACAGGAGCTCCGCTGGCTGACCTTCTTGCTCACAGACTTAGGTGAGTGGCCTAGCTCTGCCCCGGTCTTGTTCGCTGACAACAGGGCCATGATCCTCCTGTGTCAGGAGCCTCGACTCGAGGGCAGAGCGAAGCATATTCAGCTGCGGTACTTCCTCCTGCGTGAGCTACAGCAGCGACGTCAGGCTCGCGTAGTACACTTGGCCTCAGGTGCCAACACATCTGATATCTTTACGAAGGCGCTTGCGCCTAAAGATCATCAGCGGCACTGTGTACAGCTTGGTCTAGTTCCTGTAGCCTCTCACTTGCTAGGACCTTGACTTTGTACTGTCCTTTATATGTATACTCAGATTGGACTTGTGTCCTCTCCCAGTGGCAGGACTAGCAGTGCCGCCCTGGTCTTGTTCTCGCCCTGTCTGTACTCCTTCTGACTGGTCTCTTAGACCCTTGTCTCAGAGGTTGGACTAGTACTAGTGCCGCACTGAGCTGCTTGTTTAGGACATTCCCCTATGCAGTCTAGGGGGTGTGTCAAACATGTGTATTTGTTGTATTTGCATAGACTGTATAGGGTCACCTCTTAGAGGGTACAATACTTAGGTATATCTATCTGTACTCTCCCTCTACCCGAACATTCTCTACTCTCAGTTTGATACGAGTGTCATGGCCGAGTTGCAACAGCTTTTGCGGTACTAGACGCTTCGAGGCTGCCAGGGAGGAGGAGCAAACAACCGTGGTGCTTTGTGTAGAAAGACGAGCTTGAAGATTCTAGAATCACCAGAAGGGGGAAACGAAACAAGCCAATTAGACTGCGTGCGAGAACAGAAGATTGACAACTGACGACACTGACAACCACCGCCCAGGTGGGAAGCAAGTGAAGCAAGCAACATCTAGAGAAATGTGAAGCACATAACGCTCGCGAGGCGACGTGGCACGCCGAAATGCTTGGAGGCGAATCGAAGAATTTTCGCGAATCTGCTTCCCCTGAGGAATCGCATAGGGAGGTTGGTGATGGCGAGGGGTGCGATTCCCCTGGTTACCACTTTGTGTAAGCGAAGACCCGTAAATCTCGCTTGTGGTTCGTGAAGCAACAGCCTGTAAAGCGGTCGTCAGTGCATGGTAGTTTCCTTCTGACAGTTTCAATATTAGTTAAAACGGCCCGTTACAAGTGGCGACTAACTAACCCTTTGAAACACAAAATATACGTAGATAGATACATTTGTGCACACGAAGGATTATCCTCAGTGTTCCATGGCTTGCATGGAGGGAGGAGCTACAACAGTACCAACGGAGGAGCCTGGGCCTGACAAAGGAGGGACTCGCCTCCTAATCTCCCTTGCCTCCTGGCAGAGCGCGCATCGGTGGCAGATGAAGTGCAGGAAGCAGTCGCAGCAGCGATGACAACCGTCGGAGGGGTCACTTGTCACGCTTTCGGCTCCGCTCTGGAGGCAGCAAGAACGTAGGAGCACAAAGAACAGGGGGAAACTGCCTCAGGAAACTCAATTCAGCAGGAAAATGGCAGCAGACTGCCAGTTAGAACCTGAACCTGAAGAACAAAGGATGAGGATTAGAAGCTTGATCATCCATTCCAGACTAACCTGGAGGCCGAATTGCATGCGGATCGCGGATCGGGAGGACCAAGATTTGATTGGCGCGAGCACATTGAGGCGTAGGATGAGCTTCCCGACGACGAACAGGGACGCGTAACACATGCAGTTGTTCCAGAACTCGTCCTGGTTACCACTCAGGCGAACCATGTTGCTTCCGTAGAGCACGCATGGCGCGAAGCAGCCAAGGCAGCCTGAGGAAGACAACAGCAAAGCAAAGGGGGAAACGAAAAATGTCAAAGAGGTGCATGGGAGTCAAATGCTACAAAGAGAGCTTGGTGCAAAAAAACGAGTCAATTGTTTATGATGACAAATGGTGAAAATATACTCACAAATTTCGCAGTCTGAGCTCGCGTGCTCATCGCTAGTAGACCGGGGAATGCAAGAGCAAAGCCCAGTACTCCACTCCCGCGTTGGCGCCAAATCATCATAATCTACCCCGCTTTCCGAGTCCAAACCCGTCGCGTCTTTTCCACTGGAAATCGGCATTGTGTCAAATTGGACATCAGCAGCGGCAGGAGGGGAATCTTTGCTCCCAGGCTCCTTCTCGCCGACATAGTAGGCTTCCAAAGGCAACGAATCGTTGCTCTGAAGCAGCAGAGACACGTCAGCTGACGCCATGGATGGATGCTGAAATAGTGTAAGCTTTACGATGACTGGGTGAGTCGAGACTATGTCACCAGAGAGTTTGTTTTCAGGCGGCTCGCTTGAAATAACAATTTCTCAAAGCTAAAATACAGAAGCAACGACTGAGACTCTCACAGAGATGGATCCTGAAAGCCCTTACGCCAGGCACACCAGTGACTCTCGTGCAGTGCACAGTTCAGTACAGTATTCCTTTCTCCCAGCCGTGCCGTGCCGTGCTGGGGTGAGGACTACCGCAGTGTGACATTCTGGTCCGACCTAAAACCACTCTCCTTCGGACCTGAAATTACTCTCCGCTGCCAGCCCAGCCGGCCGCGACATTACTGTACTACAGTCCGAATTGGGGGATAATCCGCCATTCGGACGGCGTCCGGACGGATTAGCCGTGACGGACGGACCTGACACCTGGCAGGGGCCCTGATTTCGAGCGACCTGATTGGATGGTCCTACTCGTGGCTTTGATTTGGGTCCCATCAATGGACGGACAGGAGACGGATGGAGGAACAGACGGACCTCGCCCTTGCCACCACGGCAAGCCGTCTCTCATACGGGACAAATGACTCACCCAGAAGCTGGACCTTATAGGTCCGGTCCGAACGTACGTCTTCCAGATTCGTTTTCCGGGGGAAAACGAAGGGGAAGGGCTATCTGACCTGAGAGAGTCCGTCTGAACGAAGTATTCATGAAAAGGGATAGATATGGAAACAAGTGGGGAAATTATACACTGGGTAACTCTTTCTTGTCGTTTCCCCAATTCAGTCACTCTTTTCTCTTCTCAGTCAATGTTTCATCGAGTCGAAATCAGCAGCGTCAAAATTTCCGTTCAGTTTGATGCCGCATGGCAAAATATTTCGACACGTGTTCAAAAATGGCGAGATCCCAGAGACAAGGGAGACTATTTGTAGCGACAAAAAAAAAATCTCTATCTGAAAACATCATTCGATTTCACTCACATTCAAATTTCGCAGTAGATTATATTCGTGAAGACTGACTAGCCAAGTGTTGTCTCCTTGTGACAGGAAACAGTGAGCAGACGAAGCGCACACAAATTGCGCAACTGAACGTGTGCGAATTTACTGGTTGTTACGAAAATCCCCGAATGGAAAAAAATATTCTTTTGGTTGCACAAATCTATCAAGCCATTCTTGAAGGTGTAAACTAGACTTATGTCAATTTTCTGACGTTCGGTTTTTCGGGATGCCCACAAAACTAAAAACCCATTTGAGCCCGCATGCGACTCGCGGTGGCATCAAACCTAAACTCGTGGCTTTGTGCGTCTTTAGGATTGATGCCACCCCAAGTCGAATATCGGGCCGCTGCGGGTTTTATTTTGTTTCAGACTGCCCTAATTGACATGTCCGTATAAATACGGCTGCTGAACGTTATATTTTGTTTCAGGCTGCCCTAATCGATATGTTTGTATCTCAATAACGCGTCGCGAGCTGTGCGCGAACAGAATCCTCTAATAACTATGAAGTTTTCTCTTCAACGTTTGGATGTTATGTGTTTATCTCTCGATTTTTTAGACATCGCATTTCTGGGACACGTGTCGAAATATTTTGCCATGCGGCATCAAACTGAACAAAAAGTTTGACGCTGCTGATTTCGACTCGATTAAACATTGACTGAGATGAGAAAATAGTGACTAAATCGAGAGAATGAAGAGTAAGTGTTACCCAGCGTAAAATTTCCCAAACAAGTGCCCCGAGGCTAACCAGGTGGTAACTAAATTTTCGGAACGACTATCTGGCCAAAGAAGGTGGTTAGGAACGACTCCCTGCTCCTAGCTGCCCATGATCCCTTAAAAATTCAATACGTTTTCTGCTCGCTTTTAACTCCCTCCCTCTCTTTTCGCCGCGCTGGGCAGATTTCGAACTTCTAGTTTTTGATCCATACCGGACCTTTATGTATGTTTGGATGCGCCCTTCAAGTGCCGAACTCAAAATTTGGCTCGAATGGTTACCATCTGGTAGCCTCGGGGCATTCGTTTCCATTTCCATTCTTTTCCCACGTGCCTGCAGAACAAGGCCGACGAGACCGAAATGTACTGCTCTCAATTGTTCGGAAAAGAAGACACCATACAGAAATCCATGTGAGCTCTCAGGGCGTGGAACATGGGCTGCGCAACCCACCCGGGTTACACAGCTCGCCAGAACTCGCAAAGAATATTCGTAAGGACGGTGAGTGGGTTGCGGAACCCACCATGTTTTATGCATACGCGCGAAACCGCAACCCGAGTTGCGCATCCTGTGTGGGTGCTATGCTGCCCGGTCCAGAATTTTGGCTGCACGAAACCAACTGGGGATGCACCACAAAGTAGCATGCCACAGACTTCGCTGAACCGCGGTGGTGGGTTCTGTTGCGCGAAAGGTGTTGTTTTGGCGAAATGGTTATAGGGTGTTAGTGTATCGCGGAATGCTTGTGCAAAATTTCTGATTTGGAAGCGCAGCCCGATGTACCATCCCGTTGTGGAACCTCGGTGGTTGCGCAAGCCGATGTTCCAGCATCGAATTGTGTAACTTTCGCGAGAAGCGCAATCCAAGGTTGCGCTTCTGTGGGCAGCTCAACCCATGTTCCAGGCCATCAGCTCAAGCCCCAGACCCGTTTCTTCGTTTGTAGGGTCTACAGTAAAACATCCGTCATGCGTGTGCTAGATCCTAGTTTCCGGAGGTTACACTCAGCCTAAATGCGATGTAGTGAATAGAGCACCTCATCAACTAACAGCGTAGACCCATGCGTCACCTTCCCTACAACGCATTTCTAGAGCAGAATATTATCTTGAGCAAAAGCGGTGCGAAGAGTCGATGGACTACGAAAATTCATTGGGTACTTGCTAGAGAGCGTGTGCTTGAAATCGTTGTGCGACCAACCATGCGTGATATTACAAGGACTTGGAGTGGTGCAGCACAATGGTTTGCTGCTTGTCAGCAATCTCAGCAGCTTTGACTAGATAGACGCCTTGTAACCTGAAAATAATGGCCAGTGCAAGTGCAAAGAACACAGGAAGGAGAGGCTGGGCTAGGGGCAGGATGAATGCGAGTGACCATCGGATTTGGGAAGGGAGGGAAGTGCAATAATTGGTTCCAGGAGTATCAGGTGCACTGGAGCTTGCATAAGCACGAGACAATTTCCCCAGTATGTGTAGCTAGCTAACGACGCCCTTTAGAGCAGTCAACCTATGAGAAGTCAGCCCAACGCACAAGTCAAGAAAGAAGAGAGGGGGAAACTCGCCCTCAGGAGTCTGCTGCTAAGAGCACCCGTAAGAGCAGTCAACCCATAGTGAAAAGAAAACAATGAAAGAAGGTAGCGTGTAGATAATATACAGTGCATGGTGGAGAGAAAATAATTAGATAATATACAGTGCATGGTGCAAGCTGAGGATAGTAAAAGAATGCTGATATACCGTGATTGTAGGTGGCTGTTCAACATGCTGCTTCCTCCATGTGAGGTGATACTACTTTCACCATGTGCAATAGCATTACTGGGTTACTTTTAGTAACTGCTAGGCATGTGATGCAACATACCTTTAGATTCAGATAGAATATGTAATATGAAGCTCAGTGCGAAGCTCACTTTTAGCTCACTGTATTTATTTTGTAATATAATTACTCAGGCGTATGTACTGTGTGCGCTAAGCTCACCTGTGCGTCAGTGCTTGGCGCGCTTCTTGGCTTCGCTATAGAGCACCACTCCGCTGCCCATAGTGATCCCAGGTCTCGGTTCCCACCATGGCTACATACATTCCACAGATATGACACATTTTATCTGTTAGCTCACCTGCGTCAGCGCTTGGCGCACTTCTTGGCTTCACTGTAGAGCATCACTCCGCATATAGGGATGTTGAATCCCATAGTTGTTACAGGATTACGTGCATTTTACAGCATAGAAAATACTATTTGTTAGCTCACCTGCATCAGTGCTTGGCACGCTTCTTGGCTTCGCTGTAGAGCACCACTCCGCATATAGTGATGCCGAATCCCACCATGCCCATAACGGTTACAACGTTACGGAACACCAAGACGGATATGATTGCCGCCACCACTCCCTTGGCATTGCCCAAGACCTGTGGGAACAAAGAGGAAGTGGAAGATAGAGGGTAGGAAGGGAAGGAGACATATTGTTGAGGGGCCTGAAAATTTGTTACGGAACACCAAGACAGATATGGTTGAGGCTACCACTCCCTCGGCATTACTCAAGACCTGTGGGAACAAGCAATCGAGGGAGAGACAGGATGTTTCTGCTCTGGAAAAATGTTACGGAATACCAAGACGGATATGATTGCCGCCACCACTCCCTTGGCATTGCCCAAAATCTGTGGGAACAAGGACGATACAGGAAGGCAGGGAGGGAGGGATGAACGGATAGAAAGAGGAAGATATATTGTTGAGGGGCCCAAAAAATCGTTACGGAACACCAAGACGGATAAGATTGTGGCAATTTCTCCCTTGGCATCACCCCAGGACCTGTGAGAGGTGACTTTTGACTCGACTCAAAAGTCACCTCCTTACCCTGTGGGAGTAAGGAAGATAGAGGATGGGATGGGGAGGGCGGGATGGACGGATAGGAGAGAGGTATATTATTGAAGCGCCTGAAAAAGTGTCATGGAACACCAAGACGAATATGATTGGGGCAATTTCTCCCTCGATCACTGAAAAAGCGTTACAGAACACCAAGGAGTACGGAAGGTATAAGAAGGGGTGGAGAGAGGGATGGACGGATAGAAAGAGGGAGAGGAGACCTGTGGGAATAAGGAAGATAGAGGAAGGGGAGGGGAGGGCGGGATGGACGGAGAGAGGAGGAAGAAGGGATTGCTTGCCTTGTCCTGTGCAGTTTGTCTCACATGCTTCTTCACTTCCCATGGTCTCACATACTTTGTCCTACATGCGTTGCATCACATCCATTGTCTCACATGCCTCCGTTCCAAGCAACCCCAATCAGTCACTCGCTGCACTCTCCCATGCCCCCCCCTCCCCCTCACCCCCCATACCCACTCCCCCATACCCACTCCCCCATACCCACTCTCCCATACCCACTCTCCAATACCCACTCTCCCATACCCACTCTCCCATACCCACTCTCCCATACCCACTCTCCCATACCCACTCTCCCATACCCACTCTCCCATACAAAGTTTCCCACACCAAGTTCCCAGGGGCCATGGCCAATCCCAGATGACGTGCTTTCATGAAGACAACAACAAGTTAACCATGCCGGTACTCCGAAATGCTCACCCACACCTTGGCATCAGTGCACCCAGCTACACCCAGATCCCTCTACAAGCAAGCCCTTGTACCCTAACCAAAAACTGTCTGTATCACAAAACAGTTATGAATTTCTCCACAATTTCTACTCCCTGTGACCGCACCTTAACGCCTCCCTTAGCATGATTTGGGATATGATATTTTGTTTTATGAGAAAACAATATTATTTCAGGACAGTCAAACGGGTCACTGTAGAAGTGAGTTGAATCTCACAGTGCATCAGACAACCCCCTCCATACTGTCACACACTGTCAAATACCGAACCCCATCGCAACCCCCCAGGAGTTGTACCCCTTCTTAACCCCCCCCCCCCCCCTCCCCCCTCTCTCTCTCCTCCTGGCCCCCCCCCCCCCCCCCCCCCCCCCCCCCCTTTCCCTCCTCCATTAAAACCCCACCCCCTGAACCTTGGCGAATTTATTCATTTCCGAGTCATTCCCCCTTTATTGTCACACTTACCCCTCTCCCACCTCACCTGGAGAGTGAGCTCGCTGGAATATTTGGTAGCCCGAAAGTTGGTCGGATTCGTGGAGGTTATGAGTGCCACATATGTGAAGTTGGTTTTTGAGTTGAGTTGGTTCTTGAGAATTCTCAAAAGCCAACGTAACCCGAATGTTGGTCGGATTCATGAAGGTTACGAGTGCCACATGTCAATAAGTTACATCCCTGGATAGTGTCCTCCTCCTCCCCCCCTTACCTGAAGAGTGAGCGCGCTGGTGTGCTTGGTAACCAGGAAATTCGTCAGGTTCGTGAAGTAGGCGAAGGCAGCATTCGCCACCAGGTACACCAGAATCCACGGGGACTCCCTCGCTTTCGCCACCACCACCGCCAGCACATTCCCCTCTATAAACAGACTCGCCGGCAGCAGCATAACCACCGCGAGCGGCGACATGTACAGTAACAAATTCATAGAGTGTAGCTTTTCACTGTCACTCGTTAAAAGCAGCCCCTGTACGACGGACTTAAGCGCGCGCGCTGCAGTGGACGCGAAGCACATTATGACGCCTAGAAGGTGGAAGGAAGGTTCCGAGTTGCTGGCGATGACAATCCCGAGGACGACTGGGACGAGGGTCAGGTAGGTGGTGGCGGCTTCAGTGCGAAAGGTGATTAACACGACAAAGAGCGCCGTGAACGCTGGGGTTGTGGCGCCAATTGCCTGCAAGGGAGGGCGGGAGAGCAGGAAAGGGAGTGGAGGGGGGGGGAGGGGGGGAGGGTTTGGTGTGGGTTAGGTAGGTGGTGGCGGCTTCGGTGCGAAACGTGATTATGACGACGAATAGGGTGGTGAACGCTGGGGTTGTGGCGCCTATAGCCTGCAAGGGAGGGCAGGAAAGGGAGGGGAGAGGGAGGGGGTGGCAGGGGAAAGGGTGGGTTAGGAGGTAGTGGAGGTTTCAGTGCGGAAAGTTATGGTGCCGGCTCCAATGCGGTGAAGGCTGGGGTTGTGGCGACTATGGCCTGAAAGGAAGCGGGGTTGGGTGGCAGGGGAAAGGGTTTGGTATGGTTCAGGTAGGTGATGTCAGCTTCGGCTCGAAAGGTGATGATGACGACGAACAGGGCGGTGAGCGTCGCTGGGTTGTGGCGCTGATGGCCTGCAGTTGGGCGGAAAGGAAGGGGTCGAGGGGGGAAGGAGGGCGGGGGGGGGAGGGGGGAGAGGGGAGGGAGGTGGGACATAACAACATGCGTAGTGAGGTAACGAAAAAAAGGGAACTGCTTACCTGGTTGTTGGATAGGGGGATGTAACTCCAGGTCATGTTACCTGGTTGTCGAATAAAGGAAAGAATTGTATCCTGGTTGACAAATGAAGGGAACCAGTGTATTACCTGGTTGAAGGAGACGGGGATGTATCTATGCATCTGAGCGACATGTTACCTGGTTGAAGCGACATGTTACCGAAAGGCGCACCTGGTTGAAGCGACATGTTACCGAAAGGCGTACCTGGTTGAAGCGACATGTTACCGAAAGGCGCACCTGGTTGAAGCGACATGTTACCGAAAGGCGTACCTGGTTGAAGCGACATGTTACCGAAAGGCGCACCTGGTTGAAGCGACATGTTACCGAAAGGCGCACCTGGTTGAAGCGACATGTTACCGAAAGGCGCACCTGGTTGAAGGAGACGGGGATGTATCTGAGAGACATGTTGCCGCACACCACGGAGAAGCAAAAGATGGCGGACAGCATCGCGATCTTGAGCATCTGTCGTGGCGACGAGATGAACTGCATCGGGACAACTTCGAAGCGGTCTATAGCGATGTAGCTCATGGTGCAGCACGCGCACATGTGGCACAGCGTCAGAAACACCGGGTATCGGAACCCGTAACTCGATAGAAGAAACTTGTTTAGAAGCAACACGCCGATGTTGCTACAGTACCACGAGACGACGATCAGCGCGGTCGTCGCGCCGGGGGATAATTGCGGCCACGCGCTGCTAGCGGGGAGGCCTATAGAGGGGATGGGCAAGGCGGAGGAGAGCTTATACGGGGAGCTCGGGGAATTCGGAACGCCGCCTCCGCCGCCGCCGCCGCCGGTGCTGTTTAACGATCGTTCCTCCTCCTTACCGCTCTCTTCTGAGTCTATCTGCGCCTCGGGATCTTCCTTCTCGTCGATTCGCCGATACGGCGCCGCGGCGCTCACCATGGTGAACTAATTTATTCTTGATAGTCCGCAAACTATCTCTTATTCTTGCCGACCCTGTCGATTAAGTTCGCCTGGAAGGCTCGGCGTAGGGTATCTAGAGGACTAACGATCTGGAAAGGAGAGCCGATCTGCTGAATAGTCGTACGGCGATGGACGGTAGGCGCGACTCTGAGCAATTTAATCGACTACTTATAGAGAGTGCCGGCTCCATCTGCTGATGCACGCGTTATCCATGTAGGCGGAATCGACGGCGTGGAATCAACGGGGTGGAATCGACGGTGTGGAATCGACGGAGTGGAATCGAAAGGGCTGCCAGTGGCCGTGAAGGTTACAAGTTGACGCGTTGACCCACCTGAAAGACGTCAAAGAGAGGAGTTTTAGGGTTCACTCGCGGGGATGCTGAAGAAATGCGAAGGCGGATCCCGTGTAAAGCAAGATATTGGGGCATTTTGATATAATAGCGAAAGGAGAAGCAAAGACTAACCTGGAGCAGGCTTTCAGCGATAGGATCAGCGACGATACCCGGACAAACTGGAAACGAAGTTAGGCGGACAATGCGGACTCAGTACCTGTGATCAGAACGAATAAGGAGCGACGCCGTGGAGCAGAGGCTTGCTTCCAGCACGCGAAGAGGCGAGGGAGATAATGGCGTTGCTAGGAGGCGGTTGGTGCTGTTTTGCTGCCTGAATGCTGAGTACTGGAAACTGGACTGGATACTAAACGCATGAGCATCTGAGGTAGGTAAGGAAGGAACGTCCTCGAGACGGGTCGGTTGATCGTATGGCTGCCAGAGTTATTCGAGCGTTGGTTTTTACAGCCTCACTGTCACAAATAAGATTTTAGCTGGTTTAAGAACGGTGCGCTCGGTTTATTCTCGGTTGATCGCCGAATATTCTGTTGATGAAATGCTAGAAATGAATGTGAGGTGAAACGGGGGGTGAAATCTAGGGCGGGTCCCTGGGGAAGGGGGCGGTTAGAGCGGAGATCGGAACGGTATGGGGAATTGCAGGGACTGGCGGGTGCCGCTCTGCGAACTCGCCCACTTCTGGGTTACAGTTGTACAGGTCGTGTCATCTCATGGCTGTGCCGCGGTAGTACAACTGATTTTCACCGTACGTCCACAACTTTTCCGAATCGCGAGGGCCACTCTCAACTTCGCCAGTTCCCATGCTTTGCCACAAGCAAATGGGTCGCAAATTTACATTTAGTAACAAGATACTCTACAAGTCAGAATTGTGGTCAATAAGCACATGCATCTGTATGGTCGCCTCGTTCCGCGCTCAGTAGTGGCGATTTTTGGGATTCTGACGAAACGGATACTTCCCACAAAACAGGGCAAATAGGCAGACTAAACCGATTGCGATTGACTACGGACAAAGCGTACAGTAGACGTCAGTTGTAGTTTTCGCAAGTGGCTAACACCCTGCGCCACTCGCGCCCTGAATCGAGTGCGACGCGCGATGTCGTGGACTATGGTTGGCTGGAAAGGGTGGCAGTTTCGATGTCGCAGCTGATGTGGCATGCCAGTGTACCATCTCGAGGGTCATGTGGTGGACCCACCAAACCAAGTTGAGAGGGAGCCACATGCCCGTTTCGCAAATCCCCTTTCGCAGTTCCTCGCCTACCCTCGCTGTCACATCCCCTGGCGAACCGTCAAGATTGCCAATATCAGGCGCCGCTCCTCCCCTTGCAGGTGGATCTTTGTAACCACCTTGGACTTTCGTCAACTCTTCCACCACAGTGGATGTCGCGGTTCGGTTTCGGGCGTCTCTTTCCTCCTGGAACTTGAGCTTCCCCCCCACAAAAGCCAGTTGTGCTTTCCTTCGTTATAATGGCAGCCTGATCAGCACCACGTGGATTCAGCAGTATGTGTGTAACCGCCCAAATGTTCCACCTGAAACTAAGCTGGTGTCGCGAAACTCCTGTAACACAGCGGCTGGAATCAACAAATGCAGATGCGTGCTATATATAGAAACTCACTAAAGAGAAAGAAACAACATCTTGTGGCAGTAAGGAAAAGGACCATAATATTGCCAGAACTCAGTCACAAACCACTCAGCTAAAAGAATGAGTAGCGGGTCAGTGTGCCCACAACCCCCCAGGCAGAGAGAGGCATGTAGCCCTTCCCCGAGGATCTCAAGGGCAACCCTAGCGGGTCTCTCGACAGGTATAGGCATTACTAGCCTTCATGCCATCATGGTGTTGAAGCATACTTGACAGCACCCTAAACACGTGGTTTACTTCAATACATGGAAGCTGCATTTGATAATCTTTCTAACACCATACGATTGACAATGCATTGCCATGATATATCCCCATTCCCCTTCCCCCCACCCACACATTGGGTACTCCGCTACACATCTTGGCAAGCATCCTCCTTTAGAACCTTTCGCCTTCGTCTCACGCACCTTGGAATGGGTTTCATGGCTGCCCGAGCATGCTTTCGCACCAGTGCGCCCAAAAGTTGTTGCTCCACCATACCAAAAGATCCCATCGTATCTACAGGTACAACTACATCTGATGGCTCAATCATGCTAGTTCTCATCACCCCCCTCCTCTCCACCATTCCCCCCTGTTCCCCTCCTAACTCCTCGTCGTCCTCACTCCCCCTCTTTCCTCGAACTTTCACCCCTTCGACCTCTTGCTGCACACCCTGCCCCTCCTTTTTAGCCTCCTCACTACCAGGCGTCTCCTCTCCCTGCAAACCCAGGGCCCCATTCTTAGAAACCTCCTTGGATCCCCTCTGCCTCTTCATCTCCCTTTCTCCAGCCACCACCCCGTACCGTGCCCGCTTATTCACCCGGATTTCGTTGGTCTGTTTCTCCTTGGCCAATCTCTCTCTGCGAGTGGCGGGCACGGAGCGCAGCCACCACTGAAGCTCCTCCATGCCTGCCCTCGCTACTGTCACATCTGCTGCAGTCACACCTGGTGCAGCCCCATCTACTACAGCACCATCTGCCACAGTCATATCTGCTATAGTCACACCTGGTGCAGCCTCATCGGTGACACCACCATCTGCTACACTCACACCAGCTGCTGCTCCATTCGCTACAGTCAAACTGCGTTTGGTACCATCTGCTACAGCCCCATCCGCTGCTGCCCCATCGGCTACAGCACCATCTGCGCCACTCCCACCAGCTGCTGCTCCACTTACTACAGTCAAACCGCCTCTGCTACAATCACCCGCTGAAGCTCCTGCAAGGTCCGGTGCCCCATTTGCTACAGCACCATCCGCTACTGTCACATGTGCTACAGAACCACCAGCACTAGCTGCATCACTCACATCAGCACCAGCTGCAGGTCCACTTGCTGCGATCAAGTCGTCCCTGGAACCATCACCCGCTGAAGCTCCTGCAGTGGCTGCTCCCTCAGTGGCCCCTGCAGTGTCTACTTTTCCTGCTACACGTGTTGGAGCTGCTGGTGCTGCAGGTGCAGGTGCTGCAGGTGCTGCTGGTGCTGCAGGTACTAGTATGGCAGCCGTTCCTGCTACAGCTGCTGCTGCTAGTGCTGTCGCTGCTGCAGCATCTCCCTTCCCGGCTACCGATGCCGCATGAACCAAAAACCCATCTACCCCCACAATGCCGAGCCGGAGGAGGCGGCGGGAAGGGGACGGCTGCGTGGGGGTCAACGCCAGCTGGCGAATGATCTGTGGGAAGGAGGAGGATAGGGGGAAGAGGAGGGGAGATAGGCAGAGGAGATGGAGACCAGAGGATAGTGAGGGGGGTGTGTGTGTGTGTGTGTGTGTGTGTGTGTGTTTGAAGGATGCCACTTGAACCAGGATCCCATCTACCCCAGAGTGCCGAGACACAGGAGGCGGCGGGAAGGGGATGGTTGCGTGGGGGTCAACGCCAGCTGGCGAATGACCTGCGGTAAGAGAGGGAGGGGAGGGGAGCCAGGAGAATAAGAAGATCGCGTGGAGGGAGGGGGGCGTGTGTGTGGCAAGGGATGGGAGGAGGACGGCTGTGTCGTTGGCTTGGCGTTGGCTTGGCGTTGGCAGGGCCAAGCCAACGGCAGCTGATGAATGATCTACAGGATGGGGAGATGGCGATAAGGCGGGAGGTAAGAGGGTCCGGCAACAATGGAGCGAGCGGTTGGTCTGGAAGGGAAGGGAAACGGAAAGAGCCCAAACAGGGAGAGGAGAACAAAAGGGGAAAACAGGAAAAAGTAATTAAAAAAAAAAAAAAAAAAAAAAAAAAAGGGTGCCCATTGCACTATTGGTGTAATCTCACAACGGCTATTTACAATAATAGAGCATACCGATTCATAATATGGTAGAATTCAAACTCACATGGTACATCCATGCTGGCAAGGACACCTGGCACTGTGTTAGCCCGCCATGTGGACCTTTCTCCTCCATGCCACGTGGACCCTTTTCTCTCCCTCCTTCCATGTTCCATGTGCCGTTGCCTCCATCCCCCTCCGGGGAAAAGGGTTCAGGAGAAGGTAAGAGAGACGAGGCAGAGGTGCCGTGTGTGGGCTTGACAGCAGCAGAGTGCACAGGGGGGCGTGCATCGAGAGGCGCTACTTGAGGCGCCTCCGAACTAGAGGCGCCGTGTGTGGTGCTGAGAACAGCGGAGAGCACAGAGGGGCGAACATAGAGATGCTCTTCTGCAATCAGCTCAACACGGATGCTGCTCATGTGGCAAACACTTCTTCCACTGCTGTTACTACTGACGTTACTGTTGTTGCTGTTGCGTGACTGACTCTTCAGCTGCCCCTTCAGCTGCCCCTTCATCTGCCCATTCATCTGCCCGTTCATCTGCCCGTTTGCCTGCCCGCCTGTTGAAACAGGGACTGGGGTAGGTGCATCGCTAACAGGTGCTACTGGGGCTGACACTGTAGCATACACTGCAGCAGGTACTGTAGCAGGTACTCGAGCTGACACTGTAGCTGACACCACAGCAGCAGCTACTGTAGCAGGCACTGTAACAGCAGCTGCAGGAGGAGCAGCAGTAGCAGGAGATGGTGAAGGGGGAAGGGCAACAGGAGGGGACGGTGGAGAGGGGGGAGGTGGAGTGGGGGGAGGTGGAGTGGGGGGAGGTGGAGTGGGGGGAGGTGGAGTGGGGGGAGGTGGAGTGGGGGGAGGTGGAGTGGGGGGAGGTGGAGTGGGGGGAGGTGGAGAGGGGGGAGGCGGAGAGCGGGGAGGTGGGGAGCAGAGGTGCAGCAGGTGCATGCGAAGGGCGTTTAGAAGCGCCTGAGGGGGAGAGGGGGGAAGAGGAAGGGGAGAAAAAGGGAGGTGGGAGGAGGGGAACGGGGGAAGAAGGCTGGAGTCAAGAGAGAGTCAGCGGAGGTGGGGAGCAGAGGTGCAGCAGGTGCATGCGAAGGGCGTTTAGAAGCGCCTGAGGGGGAGAGGGTGGAAGAGGGAGGGGAGAAAAGGGGAGGTGGGGGAAGGGGGAGGGGAGAAGAGGGGGGGTGGGGGGAAGAGGGAGGGGAGAAAAGGGGAGGTAGGGGAGAGAGGGAGGGGAGAAAAGAGGAGGTGGGGGGAAGAGGGAGGACGAGAGGAGATGCCTTGAGTCGAGAGAGGCAGAGGGGGGAGGTGGGGAGCGGAGATGACAGCAGGTGCAGGAGTATCTCTTACAGTCATCGCGTCTGACTGGAAGAGATCGGACGGGCCGATAACAGTGAGGGGTAGCTGGGCACACGAGGTGGTGGTGGTGGTGGTGGTGGTGGTGGTGGTGGTGGTGGTGGTGGTGGTGGTGGTTGTGGTGGTGGTGGCGGCGGCGGCGGCGGCGGTGGTGGTGGTGGTGGTGGTGGTGGTGGTGGTGGTGGTGGTGGTGGTGGTGGGGTGGTGGTGGTTGTGGTGGTGGTGGCGGCGGCGGCGGCGGCGGTGGTGGTGGTGGTGGTGGTGGTGGTGGTGGTGGTGGTGGTGGTGGTGGTGGTGGTGGTGGTGGTTGTGGTGGTGGTGGCGGCGGCGGCGGCGGCGGTGGTGGTGGTGGTGGTGGTGGTGGTGGTGGTGGTGGTGGTGGTGGTGGTGGTGGTTGTGGTGGTGGTGGCGGCGGCGGCGGCGGCGGTGGTGGTGGTGGTGGTGGTGGTGGTGGTGGTGGTGGTGGTGGTGGTGGTGGTGGTGGTGGTGGTGGTGGTGGTGGTGGTGGTGGTGGTGGTGGTGGTGGTGGTGGTGGTGGTGGTGGTGTGGTGGTGGTGGTGGTGGTGGTGGTGGTGGTGGTGGTGGTTGTGGTGGTGGTGGTGGTGGTGGTGGTGGTGGTGGTGGTTGTGGTGGTGGTGGTGGTGGTGGTGGTGGTGGTGGTGGTTGTGGTGGTGGTGGTGGTGGTGGTGGTGGTTGTGGTGGTGGTGGTGGTGGTGGTTGTGGTGGTGGTGGTGGTGGTGGTTGTGGTGGTGGTGGTGGTGGTTGTGGTGGTGGTGGCGGCGGCGGCGGCGGCGGTGGTGGTGGTGGTGGTGGTGGCGGCGGCGGCGGCGGCGGTGGTGGTGGTGGTGGTGGTGGTGGTGGTGGTGCAGACGTCATGCCTGCTTCTTTAACTTATTCCACTCTAGTGGCGTACCATGGCCAAAGGACTTACCACGTCTGACTGTAGAACGTCGGACGACCCAATAACAGTCAACGGTAGTCGAGCACACGAAGTGGTGCAGATGTCACAGCGGATAGAGCCTGCTTTCTCGTAGCCCGGTGGATGGGCGGACTGGGGGAGGGGGGACCTGGGGGAGGTCAAAGGAGGGGGTACCGGGGGCGTGGGGGGAGTGGGGTGGAGGGGGTGGGGGGGGGAGGGGGGGGAGACAAACGAAGGGGGCAAATGGCTGAGAATGAAGCGCAGGCATCACAGCGGATGGAGCCTGTTTAGTCCTAGTCAGGAGGCATGGCATGGCATGGCATGGCATGGTTGCATGGCTGCATGGCTGCATGGCTGCATGGCATGGCATGGCATTGCATGGCTGCATGACATGGCATGGCTGCATGGCAAATAAGGGCATCACTCACCCTAGCTTGTGAACGATTCGAAGCCCCCGAATCTGAAAATCAAAGGAGCAAGGCAAAACCATGTTCAAGAAACAATTCAAGAGATGTTTGAGTGACACCACAGTATCGGGGCGAAATGGGGAATGGTCGTTCCTTTCATGGGACCATTCATGGAAGGAAGGACCATTCATGGAAGGAAGGACCATTCATGGAAGGAAGGACCATTCATGGAAGGTGGGACCATTCATGGAAGGTGGGACCATTCATGGAAGGTGGGACCATTCATGGAAGGTGGGACCATTCATGGAAGGTGGGACCATTCATGGAAGGTGGGACCATTCATGGAAGGTGGGACCATTCATGGAAGGTGGGCCATTCATGGAAGGTGGGACCATTCATGGAAGGTGGGACCATTCATGGAAGGTGGGACCATTCATGGAAGGTGGGACCATTCATGGAAGGTGGGACCATTCATGGAAGGTGGGACCATTCATGGAAGGTGGGACCATTCATGGAAGGTGGGACCATTCATGGAAGGTGGGACCATTCATGGAAGGTGGGACCATTCATGGAAGGAAGGACCATTCCCCATTTCGCATCGTTGGTGGTTTCCAAAAGCCAGGCATAAAACCACGAAGATTGGGACCCTGACTCGCACAGCTAACCCTGAATGAAAATACCGACCGCACAGCTCACCTCAAACTGCACTAGTGACAACAGCCGACCAAGTGAAAGCAGGAGGCTTGGGATGGGAGGGACCGTGGCTCACATACCCCTGAACTGAACGAATACACCTCCAACACAGCTCACCTCCAACACAGCTCACCTCCAACACAGCTGACCTCCAACACAGCTCACCTCCAACACAGCTCACCTCAAACTGCACTAGAGACAGCAGCCCTTGAGCAACATCAGTGGCATGGGAAGGACCCTGAGGATGGGAGAAGAGGGAGGGGAAGGAAGCTTTGAGTAGACTCAAAAGTCACCTCAGTGGCATGGGCATGACCCAGAGGATGAGAGACGGTGCCAAGGGGGGGGAGGGGAAGCAGGCTCCAGTTGAGGGCACATGGCTTGCTGCAGTTCAAATCCGTCTAATTCTCTGCAACAGCCGTGGCATGGGCAGGACCCTGAGGATGAGAGACGGTGCCAGAGAGAGGAAGAAAGGAAAGGGCAGGATGGGCAGAAGAGGATGGACAGGGCAAATAGTTCATCCTTGTGAGACGAGCTAAGATGGGATAATTGAGTCGACTCAAAAGTCACTGAGCCGAGATGATGGAAAGGGTGCATAAACCATCCATCCTTGTGAGATGAGCAGACGAGCAGACGAGCAGACGAACAGGCGTGTGCATCTTAGTAAGACGGGACGATTGAGAAAGCAGAAGAGAGGAGAAGTTTGATGATTGAGCGGTAGCAAGACCCCTGCCGCTGCCGCCACTGCTGGTGATGGTAAGCAGCAGCTTACCAGTAGAAGCAACCTGGCTGCCTTCGTTTCAGACACCACAAGCAGCGATTCAGGTGAAAGCTCAGGTGAAACAGCAGTGGCAGGTGGACCAGGACCAATGGTGGCAACAGGCCCACCACCACCACCATCACCAGCACCGGCGGCAGCGGCAGCAAGAGAAGCGGTAGCAACATGAGGAGGAGGAACGAAAGGAGCAGCAGCGGGAGGAGCAGCAAGAGGAGCAGAAGCAGCAGCAGCAGCAGCAGCAGCAGCAGCAGCAGTAGCAGCAACAGCAGCAGGAGTAGCAGCAGCAGGAGCTATACCAAACGTAGGGAAAGGGCTTTGGGCGCTCAAATGGACGGCAGAAAGCATGGCAGGGTGACTAGTAGGGAGAGATGCAGGGAGGGGACGAGGGAACACTGTAGGGTGAGCAGAGTGGAGAGGAGGTCTGAGTGCGGTGGAGATGGGTAGAGGCAGGTGGAGTTGCGTGGAGCGCGGCAGAGAGAGCAGTGGAAAGCTGAAGCCTCCTCTTGGCCGGCCTGCTTGCTGCTGCTGCTGCTGCTGCTGCTGTGCCCCTTGACTGCCTTTGAGTAGGCCAGACCACTGGGTCCCAAAACCTGCCCTCCCCCCCATAGAGGCAGCTACGCCACCAACAACAGTACCAGCAGCTGCACCAATAGAACCACCAGCACCAGCAAAGGTCCCAGCATCAGCAGCATCAGCAGCAGCAGCAGCAGCAGCATCAGCAGCAGCACCAGCAGCAGCAGCACCACCACCGATTGCTGCTCCAGAAGCTTTACCCACTGCCCCCGTCCGTCCCCCTCTCATTCTCTTCCCCGCCCTCCTCCCCTCACCCTCGTCACCCCCTCTCCCCCCTCTCCCCCCCTCCCCTCTCCCCCCCTCCGCTCTCCCCACCTTCCCTCCCTTCCCCCCACTGCTCCTACTAGCCGCGCTTCTCCAACCCCGGCCCACCAGCCCCCACACGTACATGTCGTCGCCCCCCTCCATATCCCTCCTCCTCTTCTGCCTCTGGGGTCGGCTCCTGACCCCTTCCTCTGCTGCTCTCTCTCCTCCTTCCCCTTCTTTCTCTCCCCCTTCCCCTGCTGCTCCCTCTGCTGCTCCCTCTGCTGCTCCCTCTGCTGCTCCCTCTCCTTCTCCCTCTCCTTCTCCCTCTGCTGCTCCCTCTGCTGCTCCCTCTGCTTCTCCCTCTGCTGTTGCTTTCGCATCCTCCCCTTTCTCTTCCTCTCCTCCCCCTCTTCCCTCCTCACCATCATCGCGGTCGTCGCCCCCCTCCATATCCCTCCTCCTCTTCTGCCTCTGGGGCCGGGTTCTTCTTCCTTCGTCTGCTTCCCCCCTTCCCTCCCCTGCTTCCTCTTTTCCTTCCTCTGCTGCCCCTTTCTCTGCCTCTTCTGCCCCTTCTACTTCCTCTGCTCCCTCTGCTCCCTCTGCTCCCTCTGCTCCCTCTGCTCCCTCTGCTCCCTCTGCTCCCTCTGCTCCCTCTGCTCCCTCTGCTCCCTCTGCTCCCTCTGCTCCCTCTGCTCCCTCTGCTCCCTCTGCTCCCTCTGCTCCCTCTGCTCCCTCTGCTCCCTCTGCTCCCTCTGCTCCCTCTGCTCCCTCTGCTCCCTCTGCTCCCTCTGCTCCCTCTGCTCCCTCTGCTCCCTCTGCTAACTCTGCTCCCTCTGCTCCCTCTGCTCCCTCTGCTCCCTCTGCTCCCTCTGCTCCCTCTGCTCCCCCTGCTCCCTCTGCTCCCTCTGCTCCCTCTGCTCCCTCTGCTCCCTCTGCTCCCTCTGCTCCCTCTGCTCCCCGTGCTTCCTCTGCCGCCCCTTGCTCCTCCTCTGCTTCTGCCTCTTTCCCTTCCCCTGCTCCCTCTTCCCCTACCCCTGCTATTCCTCGTCCCCTCTCTGCTGCCTCTCTACTCTCCTCTTCTGCCCACCTCTCTTTCGCTGCTGCATCCCTTTCTCCCTCATCCCCCCCTATCCTTTCCATGGCTGCTCCCCTCTCTACAATCACAGCCTCTAAAAGAAACCCCAAGCTGCTGCCCCCCTGAAACCCCAAGATGCTGCCCTCAATCCCACCCTGCGACCTAATGCTCGAACTCTTATCAGCACCGAAGCTCTTATCAGCACCGAAGCTCTTATCAGCACCGAAGCTCTTATCACCTCCTGAATTGTTTTTCTCACTCTTCTTCCCATCACCCACACTCTTATCACCCCCCACACTCTTATCACCCCCCACACTCTTATCACCCCCCAAAATATCCCCATCCCAGGGGGACTGCGCATGCCCCACACTCTTCCTCCCAACACCCGCACTCCTGCCTCGGCATCGGGCTGCTGTGGGTAGATCGGCCAACCGTCCATTCACTGCTGCTAACGGAAAGATCTCAGCCGCATGAGCATTTTCAGCGGACGGTGCGGATGGGGAATTTTCAGTGGTCGGTGCAGATGGAGCATTCTCATTGGACAGTGCGGATGAGGCATTCTCCCTATCCCCGCCCTTCTGTTCCGCCTCCTCCTTTCCCCCCTCTTTTCTCTCTCTTGTGTCCTCTCCCTTTCTTTCCGCCTCCCCCTCACGTCCCTCCTCCTGCGCGTTGGTCGCCTCTGTCTTCCTATCCACCTCACATCTTCCCCCGTTACTATCCGCGTCGGAATCTTTGCTGGTAACCATGCGTTTGTCCCCTTTGCTGGTAACCATGCGTTTGTCCACTTTGCTGGTAACCATGCGTTTGTCCCCTTTGTCAGCATCCCCCTTAATGGCTTCTCCGTTATCCGCGCCGGGTACGGATTCACCCCCTATCGATTCTGTTTCCGCTTCCCCAAGCGCTTCACGATTGTTCTCCTCCGTCGCTGCGCCATCCGCATTTCCCGCCGCATTTCCCGCCTCGTTTCCCGCCGCAATCTCCGCTAACTCGCTAATTGCAGCTGCCGCGGCTGCAGCCAGAGCTCCGCCGGGCCTTCCGCTGCTCGTCCTCCGCGACCCGCACCTCCGACCCTTGCTACCGAACCTCAGGTCTGGAGCCTCCCGAGCCTCCGCTAGGGTTTCGCGACCAGGATCGGTCGCGAGGGACGGTTCCGACGGGATTGCTGTAGCATCAATAGATGGGTCGGCTACTATCTCGGCGCGCTCTGATAGCAGTACCTCAGGTGCCTTTCCGTCAGAACCCGCTACAGAGTCACTCGCTTCTAGTTCTAATGCATTTCTCGCTGCAGATGCGGCTGCTGCTGCTGCTGCTGCTTGCCGTTCTGCTCCGGCTGTTTGAACTACTGCTGGTCCATCTGCACGCGCTGCGCGTAGTACATTAGGTTCCAAGGTTGATTTCTCTTCAGCTGTAGCGTCACGCGATTCGCTAGTTCCGACGGACGGGATAGAGGACGCGTCGACATCCATGGGAAAGACGGCTTTGGAAACAGGGTTAGCCTCGACTCTCATAGAGCGCTATGTGCGGAGCATGCCACACAGAGCAACTTGACGAGGCGAATCGACTCGAAATTCGGAAACAAAATAGGTCTTGTATACTCCCAAGGTTGGGAGCCTTTACAAGAGGCCTCGTTAATGAAAGTATCTGTATCTGTCTTCAATTAACTAGTCAACCAAAGTTGTGTCGTTATGACTGATTTTCTTTGTTTATTTTGGGTCCCCCTGCCACCAGCCCTAGGATTTTGTGAGGGTTCGCCATTTTCGTGAATTGAATTTCGCCATGTCGCCAGAGCGTTCGCAACAAGAGGGATTGGCTTGGGCCACGGGCATCCCACGTTCCGGAGCCGCGATTCCGGAAGCACTGCGCCGTCGCGACCGTTGAGCGAAGCTGCTGATTGGAGGATGCCACACTCCCACAAACCCGTTGGACCTTCCATACACTTGCACCCCGTTTACATTCCACATTCCCGACGCATTTCCTACACCAGCTACGATTTCCCTAAACCCTTACCAAATTCCTGAGCTGAATCTCGCTGAGTTTGAGGACTTGATCTCAGCCAGTGAAGGAATGTCAATTTTAGTCAGTTTTACTTCCGGGCTTCTTCCAGCGCCGAGCCCCATGATCTGAATACGCATTTCCCCTCATTGCTTTTCCCGCCACCACAACGACTAGGGCGGTGCGCACGACACGACCAACGAGCTCGTCGTTCGGTAATAACCCACCCAACCGTTCTAACTTCTACAAAACCGATTAAAAACGTAGAAAAACTCACTGAAACGCAATAAAGTGATATCTGAACTCCGTTGCCAACCCAGCAAAAAGCCAACCAGCAGCAGCATTCACATCCCACCTTCCTCTCCCCTCTTCTCCTCCCATCCACTTGCCTCTACCTCTCGCGTCTACCCTCCTGTCCTCTCCTCAGCCACTCCCTCCCCCTAGCAGCTCCCGTCAGGCTTTCGCGCTCTTTTATTTTTCCGTCAACCTCCTCCGTCAAAACTACTTGCCTCTCCCGCTCCTCCACCTGCTCCGTTCCCCCTGTCCCGTTTCCTTCTCACGAACGAACCCTCGCTCATGCCGTTTCGCTCCGCAGCATCCTCCCTCCCTCCCTCATTTCCTCAACTTGAGCTTCCCCGTTTCCCCAGCTTTCCGCACGGTCGCTTGCGTCGCACGGTCGCTTGGGTCACACCGTCGCTTGCGTCGCACAGTCGCTTGCGTCGCTTAGGTATTAACTGCTGAGCGCCTTCGAAAGCGTCAGCTTTTTGTTTTGTCCGTGCTGACACTATCCAAATAACTCGCTGGCAGAAGGGCCGCCATTGGTATTTCATCCTCTCCCGCCTTTTGTCTAGTTAACACCCACCCTCGCGACTCGCGCCGCTCGCTCGATGCTGCTCCAGTCCAGATTAATATCACGACGTCTCGCCGCGTGACGGTGACATCGTTCCACGTGACGGAACGTCTCACGACGTCTCGTGCCGCTGGAACGCCTCGAAAAGTTTGTATTGAGATGTCCGAGGCAACAGCATAGGTTCATAGATGTTCAAGATGCGAACGCATAGCTGCATGACAACACCCGAGAGCATTATAGAGATCGCGTAAGTCCTGAAAGGCATGCGCGAGGGAAGCCATGGGGAGCGAGGAGAACGACAACCTTGCTGCTGCAGCCATAACGGGGATGGCACTGGCGAGAGGAGATAGGCGGATAAGCCGTAAGCACTCTAAGCTCGAGTTGGCGCCGCGATTAGACTCGGAGTGTAGTTTGATATTTGTCACGGAGCTCCAACGGAGGATGACCAGCCACGTGGCGTCAGGAAACCACGTGGCTTTGAGAAATCACGTGGCTCCTCCACGACGAGACGAGTCGGCGTGGACGGCTGTTCTGGATGCACACGTTGACTGGATACCGCAGGCACGAGGGGAATCGGCGGAAAGCGGTTGGGCGGTAGGCGCATGGGCGGAGGGCGCATGGGCGGGGGACTCGCCCGCATCAGCGGAGGCAGTTGGCGCGGAAGCCGCGGGGAGAGCGCCGGGGAGGGTGACGTGCGCGCATGCGGAAAGAAGGGGCGGGATGACGTGGCAGGAAGAGGAAGGGTGGCATGAACCGTCAACGAGGGTAGACAGAATTTTACCCCATGAAAACGATGGGCATGTTCCACTTTTAGAACAGCAACGTCGCTGGCTGGAGCTGGAGGATGACTCGGTATTAGCACATGAAAAAGGGAGTCATTCGGCGTCTGCGTGTAGCTTACGAAGATATAACCGCTGTTGTAGTTACTGTAGATCAGACTCGGTCGAGGGCAGAACGTGCGTGAGTAGAGGCGAGGGGGAAGATTTGAACGGTTGTGGCATTTCGAGGAGCAGCGGTTGTAGCATCACGAGGAGCAGTGGTTGTAGCAGCGATAGCTGCAGATGCCGTTTTGGAAGCAGCAACCGTTGTACCTATTATGCCGGCAGTTACAGTTTTAGCGGAAGGTGTAGCAGAGGCGACAGCATCTGTAGCAGCAACTGTAGCAGCAACTGTAGCAGCAGCTGTAGCGGGGTTCGCAGAAGCAGCCGACACAGCGCCAGCAGACGCAGTAGTAGCAGCAGTTGTGGCAGCAGTTGTAGCAGCAGTTGTGGCAGCAGTTGTGGCAGCAGTTGTGGCAGCAGTTGTAGCAGCATTCACGGGAAAGGGCTTGAGACCAGCTCTAGGCACCCCTCTTGTAGCAGCATCAGGAGCCGAGGGTTACAGGGTAACCCGGAGGGTAACCACCCGAAGGGCAGGAGCGTAGGTGTTAGAAGCAAGTCAGGGAGGAAAGTCCGATCTCCGTGTATCAGAGGCCCACTCTTTGTTAGAATTCTCAACCTCCTCCCATTCCTCCTCCTCATTATTCTGGGTTCCTTACCCGCTTCCCCTCTAACACACGCTGAGTCACGCACTCAGTCCCCCACTCATTCCCCCACTCACTCCCTCACTCATTCCCCCACTCACTCCCTCACTCACTCTCTCACTCACTCCCTTTCTCACTCTCACGGCACACATCGCCCCCTTCGCCACCACCCGCCTCTAGGCCCCCTTAGAGTGCACAGACCAGAGTTTGCAGGAGGGGGGGTTGGAAGAGGGGCGAACGCAGCAAGAGCAGGAGCAGGAGTAGTAACAGCAGCAGCAGAAGCAGGGTTGGGAGCAGCAGGAGCAACAGGATCAGGAGCAGCACCAAAAACAGGGGCAGCACCAGGAGCAAGAAGCGTTCACATGCACTACTACCCTCCTTGGCTACAGCATGTTTCGGATTCTCCCCTCACCAGCACCAGCAGCAGCAGCAGCAGCAGCACCAGCAGCAGCAGCAGCAGCGCCACCACCACCAGCAGCACCAGCACCAGCACCAGCAGCAGCAGCAGCAGCAGCAGCAGAAGCAGAAGCAGCACCAGCACCAGCAGCAGCACCAGCACCAGTACCACCTCTGGTTCGCAACAGAATCCCCATGCCACGGAATCAAGCTTCCAGTCTGTCTTACCAAACCAGCCTCCAGGCTCTGCAACCGCATTAGGCTCGGTACCAGTATCAGGCTCGGTACTAGGCTTGGCATCACCGCACCTGCACCGGTATCCAAGTTCAGTGTATCTGGCCACACGCCCCTTCCACCCTCATCTCAACCCCATGGCAGCTGAGAATACCTTCCATCCGCGCCTTAACAGCAAAGGCGCTGAGACCACTAGCCATCTTCATCCCAGCGCAATGGGGACTGGGATTTCGAGCGCCATTAGAACTGAGAGCACCTTCCCTTCCCCCTTGGACAGCAAAAGCGCTGAGGCTACCAACCGTCCCCATCCCAGCACAATGGGGACTGAGCTTTCCAGCAGTCAGGGCGCTGCCAGCATAACCAGTCAACAGGATCTAGATAGCAGGAGGAAGGAGATAGTGCGTTCGGGGGAGCTACTGAGGAAGGCTGGGACAGGGGAAGGTGGGGGAGGTGCAACAGGGGGAGGCTGGGGAGGTGCAACTGGTAGTGCCAGCATTGGCAGTCAGCAGGATATAGATAGCAGGAGGGAGGAGATAGTGAGCCAGGGAGAGCTACTGAGGCAAGCGGGGACAGCAGGCGGCGATTCAGCTGGAAATGGCAGCGGCAATAGCAATAGCAGCAGCGGTGGCAGCAGCACTGGCGGCAGCAGCGGCAGTACTACTGATGAAGATACCTTAGAGGGTCAGGCGCTTATACGGAAGACAAGAATGGACATCTACACCAAAATGATCGAGAAAGTAGCTGAGGAGCAGATCAGCAACAGCACTGTGGGCACCACTGTCACTCTCCCCCACACCCCTGCCATTAACTCCTCCGTTCAACTCACAATCCTCCCGGTAGCAGTCGTCGTAGCCGAGGGACTGAATTTCAACGAGTTTTCGCTCCCTCCGGGACTCTCCATCCCGACGTCTCAGCCCCTCGTAGTCGTTTTTTATTATAATTATCCTAACTACAGTAACCCGTTTACGCCGCCGCCGAGGTACACTTACCCGTGCGATCTCGTCGGGCTCGAGATGTATGCGTACTCGACGAGCGACGGGCTTAACATCTCCGCTCCTCTGAACATCCGGGTCCCGAGGAAAAGGAGAGCGGGCGGCGGAATCAAATCGGATAAGATCGAGATTCATTTGGTGTCGAGAGATTCGTATCTGCCGCCCTTTTCAATGTGGGAGCGATTCGCGTGCGTCCGGATCGGTCCAAGAGGGTTACCCATTACCCGAGGGGTAGTTACCCTGGAGCTGCCTCCGTCCCCGTCTGCGCCAGAGGGCACGAGGAATTTCACCTGCCGGGCTTCCAGGATAGGGGAATTTACCCTTGCTAGACGGACTAAAACCTCCCCTCCACCACCCGAACCACCACCACTACCATCCCCACCACCGGTGCTACCACCTCCCTCCCCTCAACCCCCCCCTCCATCACCAAAACCCTCACCTAAACCCCCTCCATCATCACCTCCGCCTGTCACTCCTCCCCCTTCTCCTTCCCCCACACCTTCCCCTTCTCCTTCCCCTTCCCCACCCTCACTCCCCTCGCCTTCCCCTCCTATCAACTCCCCTCCTCTCTCCCCTGGATCTCCGTCTATCATCTTCCCTCCTGGTGGCTGGAGTGACCTCATCACTCCCCCCTCGCTACTCCCCCCTGCTCCTCCTGTTCCCCCACCTTCTACACCTACACCCGAGAAGATCGCTTTTGTTACGTGCCTAAGTGTGGCGATCGCGCTACCGTTACTGCTGCTTGGTTACTGCTTGGTGGTGTTACTTTTGAGGAGGTACCGGCAACGGACCCAGTACAGGAAGGAAAGAGAGGAGGAGCGGAGAGCAAGGATGGGCATGCTGTGATGGGATATGCGGTATGTGCTGCTCACTTAGATATAAGAGTGCTCCTAATGACTGAGGTTAAGCTAATAACCTACGAGTTGCTAGCATAATCCTCTCCATATGCATGCCTTCATATTAACTTATGATTTCTACTCTAATTTGTGGTGGGAAGGAAAACACCATATGTTGTGACATATCCTCTTTCAATGGTGGACACACTTCTTCATTATGTAGAATAATGCGGCTGCACCAATCTGACATTCGTGCCTCCAAAAACCTGAACCCCTGTTGGTTGAGTGTGAAAATGCTTGCACGCAACATTCGCGAACCCGGCGACACTTGGTGAGATCTCGCGCGAGACCACGCAAAGACTTTATGAACTTCGAGAGAGATTGTAACCAGGCGTGGGCCACACGCAACTCAGTCTTGCCGAGTCGCGTGCTTCACGAATCCCGTCAATTCACAGCCCACTCGAAATCAATTTATTGGATGTCGCCCCTTCCCTTCTCTACGAATTGGCCCAGTTCCTTTTTGCCCCTAGTGACTAGAGCTTCCAAGAGCTTGGTTGACAATTATTCTCTTCCAGAAAGGTTTTCCCCTCATTATCCTCCACACACCTCCGCCGCATGTTCAGACGAGAAGCTTCGGTCTACAATAACTACGACGCGCATTGAGCTCCAAGCGCGGAACCTGCAGAAAATCCCAATGGCTACGACTGGAGTCCTGCGAGAGGGGGGCGACGCAGTGACCGCTTTCCCAGCAGCAGCAGCAGCAGCAGGAGCAGCAGAAACCCTTCAGCAGCAGCAGGTCACTTTCACAACACCAGCAGCCGCAGCCGAGACAGTAACTGCTTCACAAGAAATTGTTCCAGCAGCAGATACAGCACAAGTCCCTCGCGTTATTCGTTCGGCTTCGTTCCCAAGCATCCTCTCTTTCCGCTTGGAACAATGGCCGCCTGCGAGCACTACCCAGCAGTTGGACTCTCACCAGCAGGATCAGCGGAAGCCGCAAGAGTCCGCGAAAACAGAGTCACGGCCGCTTTCCCCGGTCTCCCCGCATTCCTTTCCTGGAAATGGCTGCGTTACCCTATCAAACACCGTGACAACGCCGACGGGGCAGATTACAGCCCCCGCTAAACCCGCGCTCTCTTCCGACATTCTCGAGGATGTTTTTCAGCTTCTGCAGCGACCCGAGCACGCGCACGTAGCCAGCGCTGTTTGCAAGGAGTGGCGCGACGTCTTCGAGAATCGAACCCGCGACCTCTCGCTTGTTTACGGCTTGCGGACCGCGCGCTGGGAGCCGTGCTTCCGTGACGTCAGCAACTGCAGCTTCGTTACAGGGTGGCATCCGGGGAAGCAGAAGCTATGGATTTTAGACGACCCGATACTGTGCATGCCACAGCACGTACGCTTTATAAGCGCGAACCCCTGGTTCACCCCGGCGCTTGTATCGGATCTTCTCTTCTCGCAGAACTTCCAACACCTCGACTCGGGGCTTGTTTCGCCTGACGGAAAGCAGGTTGCCGCGTTGATTAGGCGGTTTCCGAACCTGACGTCCGTCAGCATCCCCGTCACCGTCACCAAGTCTTCCGGGTGGGATTCGTTTGACGACGAGAGCTTGGAGGAAGCCATATCCGCTATCGCCACGTGTCGCTCGCTCCGCTCTTGCCGCATTCAGATACGATTTCCCACAGCTCTAAACTCGAACCATTTCAGCCTGTGCAATAGCATCCTGACCGAACGCCTCGCCGAGATTTTCGCATCCTGCCCGCGCCTCCGCTCGTTCCACCTGCAAATGGACATGACTCGATTCGCGGCGCCTGACGAACTGCCCGATTTGGCCAGCGCGATTTCATCTGCCCGTTCGACCTCAACTTCTCCTGAAAACTCCCAGCCGGGCAGCATCCAAGTCGAAGCAACGGAAACTCCCGCCACAGCCTCGACTCATCGCGAGCAGACGCCAGTACTGGCAGAATCACATTCGTTAGTAGCCCCGACGCATCGGTTATCCCATCTCTCCCTCCCTCTACACCATCACCTCACCCCCTCGTTACTATCCTCCTTCCCGTGCCTCCGTTCGCTTCAGCTGCACGTGGCCTGCGCGAACGAATCCTTTTTCGCCATCAGCGCTCCGTTTTCGCGACTTCGCATGTTACAAGAGCTTCGCATAAGCTTCCACGCCGATAGGAGGCCGAGCTCGGAGACCCCTCCTCAGGCTCGGGCCCCGAGCCTCTCCCCGAACCTGTTCTCAGGCTTGGAACATTCGCTTCGGAAGCTGACTCTCAACCTCCGCGTGGGCACCCGCGACTTCGACGGGAACTTGGTCTTCGTACCCGATATAACCGACCCCGATACAGCCAACAGCATTCGAACAGACGCGAATACCAATAGATTTAGGGTTACGCTTCCGGATTCGATATGGGGGTTGGAACTGCTAGAGGAGCTCGAGACTGATCTGAGCAGCAGCAAAGCAATGCAGGCAGCGGCGCGACGGCAGGAGAGGCGAGCTCGACGGGTGGAGTTTGAGAGACGAACCGCCCTGAGAGTGCTTGGGTTCAACGAGGCCGCTACAGCTGCTGCAGCTGGGGTTCCAGTCGCTACGGCTGCTGCTACAGCTGCTGCCACTGGTGCTGCTACAGCTGCTGCCACTGGTGCTGCTACAGCTGCTGGTGGGTCGATCATGGACGAAATGCCCCTGGACGACCCTCGCTTCGCGGGCTTTAAGCGCCTCACCTCGCTAACCCTCACCTCGGACCAGTGGACGGCCCCTCCGCCGTCTCTCACGCACCTGCCGAACCTGACGCGGCTCCACATGCCCCTTGCTGCTCCGAGCCTGAGCGCCAGGCCCGGGGTGGGGCTGTGGCATCTGAAATGTCTGGCAGACCTGTGCATCTCCATGGAGAACAGAGCAGACACTGGAGAGCAGCAGCAGCAGCCGCAGCAGCAGCAGGAAGGGGGGCTAACGCACGACCGGGGTCAGCAGGGTCAGGAGGGTCAGGAGGTTCAGGGAGAAGCCCAGAATCAGCAGCCGTTCCTCCCCCCTGCCCTGGAGTCCTTGACTCTACACGGAGGTTCTAATAACGGGCAGTGCGGCCTGTCTCGCTGGGCCTCCTCTACAATCACACAGCTCAAGCTGGTGAACGTCAGGTGCCCACCCGTCCCGGACACAGAGTGCCTCTTCCCGAACCTGAGAGTCTTCCAAGCCATACATTCCACTGCCCAGGTTGGGGCTCTGCCAAACCTAAGACACATGCTGGAGAGGGCCAAACCTGGTTCGGAGAACCGGCTGGTTGCTCATCCGAACCTGACGTTCCTGCAGGTGGATCAGCCGAGCAGCAAGTATTCCATTCCACCCATGCCGAAGCTCGAGATTCTCATCATCGACCCCCTTCTGGCTTCTTCCCGAACCCTAGAATGCCTTTCTTCCTTCACCTCCCTGCGGTTCCTGAGAATTTCTATTGTGGGCATCAAGAGGAAGTGGACGGGGAAAATCAGCTGCCCGCCGAAGCTGAGGACCTTGGAGATTTACAAGTCGACGTTTTATTGCCTTCCCAATAGCTTTGCTTCCTTCAACCACATCCGGAAGTTGCGGCTGATTTATTGCGAGCAAATGAAGTCGCTTCCAGAGTATTTGGAGGGCTTTAACCGCCTTACAGAGCTCACCATTAGAGGTTGTAAGAGAGATTAGGATTCCAGACAGTTTGGGGGCTATGTTAGCTAGGGTGAACTATAAGGTGGAATCCGTCGAGATGGCAGAGTGAACCAAATGAAGATGGGGGCGGTGGAGAGCCATTGTGGGTGTTGTGTGGTAGGGATATATAATTTATGTGTATGTTCGGTGTTACAATTTCCACTCTGTAACTACCGCGTACTGCACCCTCGTTTGTAGTTCGGCATACTGTTCCACCAATGAGATCGAGTCCAGAGCGGGTGATCTCGCCAGCCAAATTGACAGGCATATCCCAGGTCCGCTGCGCCTGGCGGGCGACGGATTAACAAAACGTTACACCTAATCCGCCATCATGTACTGTGTATGGGGAGGCACCAATCGCGGCTTCTGCAGAGGATGCCACCCCATCCCAGGGGTGGGCTGGCGCACCAGCTCGGCTGACTCCTGGCAGAGCGGGCACAGCAGGCACCAGAGATGTATGCACCAGTCACACACCCTCGCTCTAAACGAGGGAGGAGAGGGAGGAGAGGGAGGAGAGGGAGGAGAGGGAAGTGGCAGGACAGGAAAGTAGAACGATTACTGTGCACATGAGAGTGAACCCATTGTTGTGCTGAGTCAGCACTGAGAAGGGGAGAGGAATTGGGGGGAAGGGGAGAGGAATTGGAGGGAAGGGGAGAGGAATTGGGGGGAAGGGGAGAGGAATTGGGGGGAAGGGGAGAGGAATCGGGGGGAAGGGAAGAGGAACTTGAAAGAAGGGGCAGGGTGGTGACAGAGTGAGGTGAGATGGGGCGATGAGAGAGTGAGGTGAGATGGGGTGATGAGAGAGTGAGGTGAGATGGGGTGATGAGAGGGTGAGGTGAGATGGGGCGATGAGAGAGTGAGGTGAGATGGGGGGATGAGAGAGTGAGGTGAGATGGGTTGATGAGAGAGTGAGGTGAGATGGGGTGATGATAGAGGGGGTTGAGAGGGGTTGATGAGAGAGTGAGGTGAGATGGTGTGATGACTGAGTGAGGTGAGATGGGGTGATGAGAGAGTGAGGTGAGATGGGGTGATGAGAGAGTGAGGTGAGATGGGGTGATGAGAGAGTGAGGTGAGATGGGGTGATGAGAGAATCAGGTGAGATTGGGTGATGAGAGATTGAGGTGAGATGGGGTGATGAGAGAGTGAGGTGAGATGGGGTGATGATAGAGGGGGTTGAGAGGGGTTGATGAGAGAGTGAGGTGAGATGGTGTGATGACAGAGTGAGGTGAGATGGGGTGATGATCGAGTGAGGTGAGATGTGGTTATGAGAGGTTGAGGTGAGATGGTGTTCGGTGTGACTAATTTGATGGCTGGCGTGCGAGCGAGCTGGCCGGCGCTAAAACCGCGCGCTGGCCGCGGCCGTCCGTGCGCTGGAGCATTGAAGCCGCAGCGGCAGCACGACAACGCCACGGCAGCACGATCGCCGCGGCAGCAGGACGTGGCCGCCATGGCAGCACGTCGAAGTCGCCACGACAGCGCGACGAGGCCGCCACAGCTGCTCGACGAGGTCGCCACGGCAGAGCGGCGAGGCCGCCGCGGCAGCGTCGAAGGCCGCCATGGCGGCGCGAATGTGACGGGAGGGGAAAGAGCACGTTGCGGAAGCATGATGACAAGGCGCAGCATGATCTTCCTGCTCTGAAACCATATTGAAAGGAGTTGAGCCTAGAAGTTAGCTAGGCATGAGAAATGTCGAGGTTTTAGCTAGGGAGAAAAGGTGACGAGAGAAAAGAGAGTTGGACGAGAAGAGAGGGATACAAGAAGGGTGTTGTACTTTCTACAGTAGGATCCAGTATTGTAGCACACCTAACCTACCAAGCTTACACAACTATATATATATATATATATATATATATAAAATATAAGTTGACACAGTGGATGCACCCGACACACGTCGCCTCACAAACGGGAGCATGATATGTGAGAACGACAAGCAGAGAGAGAATGATTAACTCTTGTGAGTGATATGATTGTGACACGACCTCAGAGGAGTGTGCAGTGCAGTCGTCATAGTGCAGTGCAGTCGTCATAGCATATCATAGCTCCATAGTACAGCACACTAGATAGGGCAAATACATGGCAAGGGAACAAGGGTGAGCAGGCCATGCTAGTTATCAAAGCATGGGAGGGAAGGGTGGGCAAGTTGGAACAGAAAAATGCAAATGAGACTAGGTGGCAGGTCTGAAAGACCTGCCGATAGATGAAGGAGTTTGTCTCCTTTACAGCAAACTCCTCTTCTAGTCGAATCACAATCTGTAAATTTTTTACTACAAAAAAATTTCTCATATTGTGACACGACCTCAGAGGAGTGTGCAGTGCAGTCGTCATAGGTCAAACGAGACATCAAGTGGTAGGTCGTCGGCGGTGGCGCTCGAGGGTGGCCTGGTATTGATCGGTCGCGCTCGAGCGAGTAGGATCTTGTAGCGCGCGAGAAGCAGCCACTAGCTCGCGGTCAAGCTGAGTAATGTAAAGCTCCTTGGCTGTATCACTTCGCCAGCGACCTAGGGCCTTGAAAAGCCGGTCGGGGACTCCAATATCAACGGCGACCGTCGCAGCCGCCTTGCGGAAAGAATGGGTGCCCAGGAGGGCCGGGTTAAGGCCTACACGGGAGAAAGCATCTCGACACCAACCCCGAATGGCGGCGTACGAGGGAGAGCGATCTGAGGGGGAAGCTCGGGCACCCGGCTGAAATATACGAATAAGGGGGCCAAGGGTCCGCGGAGAATAGCCAGCCAGGAAGAGGAATTGTTGGACACGCGACACCGGACAGTGGCGGGCAGAAGAAGCAGCCACTGGGACCCAAACACCGGTGCCAGCTTGGTCGGTCTTCGAACGAGGGATGAACAACCACATGCAGTCCCGATCGAACTCGATCTGGTGCCACTGGAGGGAGACGAGATCAGAGAAACGAAGGAAGGCTGCGAACATGAGGAGGGGAATAAGGCCCCGCTGGAATGTGGCCGGATCATGCGATGAGAAGTAGATGTCACAGATATCGTAAATCTTGGCTGGAGGAATGGGCTCCTTAGCTTGAGATGGCTTGCCACAATGACGCATGGCATAATCCTTGACTTGCGAAGAAAAGGGGCCGCGAATCGGGGAGGGGTGGCCAACCAGCCAATGGGCGCAGGATATGGCGGAACACGCAGTGCGCACAGCTGAGACAGTAGCGCCGCGACGGACCGAGTGCAGCAGAAAGAGGGACGCTGTCAGGTCGGTGGCGGGAAGGAAGGGAAGTGAGTGCGCCAAACAGAAGGCTCGAAACTGTCGCCAGTAGGGTTCGTAAGTGCGAAGGGTAGACTTCGCCCGAAGATCAACGGTGAGTGTGAGAAGGTCCGACAATAATCGACCAATATATGAGCCTGCGCAGTGAAATAAATTGATACATTAGTTGAATGCAAAACGAAGCGCATACATCGGAGAGTTCGGAAGACCAGCACCGCTAAAGGCATGACGGTCACTGCCAACGCGTAAACAACTAGCACCAAGGGTAAGGCGAAGGGCCATAACGACCTCCGGGCCCCAAGTGGAGCCGTCCAAGCTTAGCAAAGGCCACCAAAAGGCACTGGGCCAATATGGGATCACGAGAGTGAGAGAAGTGCGCGAGCGACGGGCATGAGCTAGGACAGCCGGGATGAGGGTGGGTGGAGGAAAGGCGAAGCAATTCTCGTGGCCCCAATTGATAGAAAAAGCGTCTTGCGCAACCGCAGAGTGTGAGAACTCGAGGGAGCAGAAACGAGCGAGCTGCGCATTGGCAGGGGATGCGAACAAGTCGATAGTATGAGGCCCCCAATGCCTCTCAAGCAGCCGGAACCAAGGTCGTGTCAAGGAGTAGTCGTCGTGGAGCTCAATCTTGGACAGAGCGTCAGCCTCGGTATTCAGCGCACGGGGAATCCATTGGACCGTAAGACGGATCATATGGCGCACGCACAATTGAATAATCGCGCGGCATACGAAGGTAAGCTCGGGACGGCGAGAGCCTCCCTTCTGGAGGATGTAGTAGGCCGCCTGACTGTCGCTGCGGAGCAAGATGTGCGAACGTCGGATTTCGACAGAAAAGGCCGAAAGGGACCAAAAGATTCCGGCCAGCTCGCGAAGGGTACTGGACGAGCCCAAGAGGGCTAGAGGCAGCGGGGAGGAGAGCGAGCCGACACGACCATCTGGTGCTGAATAACAAGCCCCCCAAGCATGGTCGCTAGCATCCACGTACATGACCACGTCGTACAAATGCGGGTTGTGGAAGCGGGCGCCGTTGAAAACGTCGAACTGTGTAAGCCAAAATCGCAGTTCTTCAACAGACTCAGGGGTGAGGAGAATGGCCGCCCCCCATGAGTGGCATTCGGCGATCTGCGTAAGAAGGTGGTGGGAGAAAGCGCGCGCGACAGTGCCAAGCGCCAAGGACATGGAGGCCAACATGCCGGTGATGCGGGCAGCGCGGCGAACAGGGATGCGACGCCCGTTAGTGCCGAGTGTGCCTAATTCATCCAGCTCGGCAAAAAGCCGGTTGCGCCGATCCGCATCGACCGAGAAAGTGGTGGTGCGCGTGTCCAGCAAGAGGCCCAAGAACTTCAAAGATTGTGCCGGTGCGAGTTGTGATTTTTTGAAATTCACAACAAAGCCCGCGGCTGCGAGGTCGGCAATGATTATGGAGCGGTTGTGAAGAGCCTCCGCTCGAGTGGCACTGATGAATAGGATATCATCGACGTATGGAATAAGGCGGATGCCACGGCTACGCCAGCGTTTGGCGAGTTGCTTAATTAACTGGGTAAACACAAACGGCGCTGTAGCCAGCCCGAAAGGCAAAGAGAGGAATTGGTAGTCCTGCCCTTGCAAGGAGAATCCGAGAAACTGCCAGAAAGCGGGGTGAATGTCGACGTGGTGGTATCCAGATTTGAGATCGATCGTGAATAGCCAATCGCCTTCTTGCACCAAATCAGGAACGCGAGTAAGTCCTTCGTATCGAAAACGAGGTACTGAGAGGAATGAGTTGACATGCCGCAAATCCAATATCAGTCTCTTTTTTGAGGGTTGGACAATCACGTTTAAGGGGCTAACGCATGTGAGGGTTGTGGAAGGAGGAACGACCCGAGCTGCGCCGGTGGCGAGAAGCTCGGCCACTGCGCCTACGGCGAAAGAGGTGAATTGCAAAGCACCGGCATGGTTCTTAGTACGAGACGGAGGGGGCTCAGAGGC